AATAAATCCGACATGTTCACAGGTTTCCGCAGCGCCGGTGAAGACAATAAAGCCGCTGCACGGAAGACCCGTATTGACAGAACAAACAAGTTGGTCGTCGATCTCCTGTGTGATGGTGCTCTCCCTCCGAAGCTCGTCGATAGGAAATCATTTCGTGCCTTGATCGATCATCTGCAGCCCTCAAACGGAATTTTCGTCGCCACCACATTTTCGACAAATTACATCCCTTTTCGCTCTCTTGGCTGCATTTTCCTCGACCGTTTCCTGCTCAAAAAGACGCTTTCCTGCTGTGGTTTGTATCGGACGAGGTAGCTTAGAAGAATTTAGTCAAGAAATAACGGCATTCATGAAGTAGGACTTACGCGCTTCCCGGGTCCTTCAATCGCGACACGGGCTGCATGTCGGAGGTCATCCACCCATTGAGTAAGTAGAAGATTAGGGCCTCCGTTCCCAGTGATAAAGTCGCGGAGAACGGTCACGAGTTCTTCTAACGCAGGCCCACGAGATTTGAAGGCGACTATTATGTCTTCGCCAGCTGAAGTTCGACGGCTGCCAAAGGAGCGTCCCAGCGCGTGGCTGACAGTGGACTTGACGCAGCCCGTCTCTTCTGCTTCTTTTCCATCAATGGCGTAGCCCAGAAAATTATGCGTGGTGTCGATTGGTATGGTGTCAGGTAGGTGTTGGAGAAGCCGCAGCAGTTCTTTGAGCTCTTCATGGTAGTAGGCTGGTCCCCCCGAAGCACACATGGTGAGTAGCTCCAAGCAGCTCAGGCGTTGGAATCAAGAGAGCGATCCAATATTCGCAGTGAACCCGTTGCAAACGCGCGGGGAATCTTTTGTTCTCTACGGTACTCAAATACTATTTTAGAGTAATTAAATGTACGAATTTAGTCTCTCGGATAATAACGGGCAGCAACAGGAAAGCAGAAATGAAGGAAAGAATGAACGGCGGGGACCTGGTAGCAAAGTGCGCCACAAAGCAGGACACGAAAGTTTTTTTTTTGGCATGGTGATCCGCGACCGGTCCGGGCTCGGCTATATTTAAAAACCGGTACTTTGGACTCGACGATATATAAACCGGTTTATAAACCGGATTAATAAACAGCGCCCTAGAGTGACCAAGCGGACCACATGACCTGCATTAAAGCCGACATAAATTGAACATCCATGGAACATCTATTAGCAACTCAACCTCTCCCTCTCAATAATGACTATTACTCAAAACGCATCTGACCCTCTCGTCGTGGCGGTTGGTGTAACAGGCAACCAGGGCGGTAGCGTCGTCAAAGCCCTGGCGGAGTCCGACAAACCGTATCGCATCCGCGGTCTCACTCGCAACGTGACAAAACTAGCTGCGCGCGAGTTTGCCGCGCAGGGTGTCGAGATGGTCAGCATTTCGCTCAGTGCGGATAATGCGGATGCGGTCAAGAAGGTTTTCGAGGGAGCCAATGTCGTTTTTGTTGGTGGGCCGTTTTCACATAGCATGCACGAACTCATTAGCACGCCAGGTCGTGACGAATTATTGGGAGCACCTCGACGTGAAGAGAGTATGTGCTCAAAATTATCACGCGAAGATATTTCCATTTGACACGAGAATATTCGCCCATAGGAAGTTGCCGAGGCGAAGATGCTGATTGATGTTGCGAAAGCAGTCGGAGTTGGCCGGTTTATTTGGTCTGGCCTCGAGTCTGTGATCAAGGTTTCAAACGGAAAGTACTCGAATGTTCACTTCTTCAACGGCAAAGGGGAGATTACAGAGTATGGGCGTAACTCTGGGATCCCGTTCATTAATGTCCAGGCTGGGTGGTACGCGTCGAACTTCTATAAGCTCGATGCAATGAAACCCAAGCGCTTGGCGGACGGGACGTACAAGCTCTCCTTGCCAGTGGGGCCAAACACCATCCTGCCAGTGATAGATACGGCGCACGACTACGGCCTCTTCGTGCGCGAAGCGATAGAGTCTCCTGAATTTGGCCCTGGTTCCGAAATTCTTACCTCCGGAGAAGTTATTTCTATCGGGGACATGGTTTCGCAGCTTGCCGAGAGTGAGTGTCTGCGAAGCTTCTTTCAGCCGGCTGCAGACTGATTTATCTGTCAAGTCACTGGAAAGAAAATTGTGTTTGCTTCGATCAGTGACGCGGACTTCATAAAGGCCACGGGCTTCCCTCACAGCGTCGCGCTGGAAGTCCTCGAGAGTATGAAATACTACGAAGAATGTGGATGTGCGTACATGTTACCCGGTCTCGTGTCTTCCAAAAATAATTTTCGTGGGTTTGCAGATTACGCTGGGAAAGACACTGCGCCAAGCCGCCGGTATCTCGGCCGGCCCACGCGCACCTGGGCCGAGTATGTTAAACTACAGCTGCAGCCAGGTGGACTAACATTCGAGTGAAACGGGAGCGAGCGACGAGAGGGTTGTACATTCCAGTAGTGTATATTGCTCTGCGTCCCCTCAAAGGAGGGATGAATCTGAAAGAAATTATGCACGGCGGCCGGCTTGGTCTGAAAAATGTTGGCAGCGTGGGCATGAGAAATGAGCCTTGTTGTGGTGCCAGTATCGACCGCAAAGTGAGTGCTAGAATGCAGGTAAACGCGCATCGCAGCTCGTAATTGAAGTTGGGCCAAACTTACTAAGCGTTGTATTCCATTACCGAGCCCACATCAAACCTCCTATCAATGATTCATACTGGTTCGGATGCGGATGTTTTTTCTGTGTGCCTCGATGTACGTTCTGGGAAGACCTTGCTTTACGCTTCGATGCCCGGGGCGGCACTATCTTCCTCCAATTAGGTTCTCTCAGGTCGTCGTCGTCGCCGCCGTATGGGGTCTTTGGATCCAGTGCATCTTGGAGAATTTTACAGATGTTATACTGATTCACGAGTAGCACTGGGAAGCACGTCTAGTCCCAAATACGCTGTGTGCCCACGCGTCGGTTCTGGTATGTGTCCGCGGCGTTGCTTATATGTCTGGGATAAAATGCGTATCTGGCATTCAGGTTTTTGATTGGCTATGCACGCTTGACCAGGAGGTGCGTGTCGTAACTTGGCCGACCTTTGTGATGAATTCTTTCATGCAGATTTTATACATATGACCGCGGCCCTGGTCAATTAGCACCATCCTATTCGTGCTGCAGAGAATTTGGACAGAAAAAAAAAGGAATGACCCAGCCCCAAGTTGAACGGGGGTTTCCTACATATTATGTAGGTGTGACCACTGGGTCTCTGTGTGCTTTTGGCTGGGCTTGATTACCCCAAGGTTTTTTGTGCCTTTATTGCTCGACCGCATGTCTGGGAACCGACAAATTGCATGGGTGCAGATTGAACATTGCTCACTGGACTGAACGAGGATGTTTTGGATAATCTGGTACTGCAGTAAAGTCTCCCTCGGTAGAAAAGAAAAAAAATCGCATGAAACAGTTGAATGACCCAGCCCCGAGTTGTATAATTTTGTGAGCATTACAGCAGTGGATCTTATGGGCTTTGGCTGGTGTTGAATAGATCTGACTGATTTTCTCTTCGGAATTCACGAGATCATGGTTGAAAGAAAAAAAGAGTGACCCAGCCCCGGGTCAACGGGGACCTGCGGAATCCTCTCAAACTTCCAATCCTGTGCAGACATACTAGACATTGCACCACTGGGTCTTTTGGTGCCTTCACCAGGGTTGGATTGGTTAGTGGGTTGTTGTGAGCCTCGGACCAAAGCCTCAGAAAAGAAAACAAGAAAAAAGACACTCATGAGGAATGACCCAGCCCCGAGTCGAACGAGGATCTGCCACAGTAATATGTTCTTTGCAGTACAATTAATTTTTGCAGGTATGCTGACATTGCACCGCTGGGTCTTGTTGTCCTTTAGCTGGCATTGAATACATCTGAAAGATTTTGTCTTTGGGTTTAACGAGAAATAAATTGAACATGGATGGAAAAAAAATGGATAGACCCGGCCCCGAGTCGAACGGGGATCTCCTGTCGGACATACTCAGTAATTTCGCAAGTTGTGCAGGTGTGCTAGGCATTGCACCACTAGGTATTTTTGTGCTTCGGCTGATGTCGAATAGATCTGACTCATTTTCTCTTTGGCTGTCATGAGAAACAAATTGAATAGAGATGAAAAGAAATAAAAGGATTGACCCAACCTCGAGTTGAACGGGGGTCTCCTGATGAAGAATGAGTTGAATACCAGCTAGCAGGTGCAGGTGTGCTGGACGTTGCACCACTGAGTCTCTTCATCATTTCAGGTGGCTCTGAGTGTATCGGACTGATTTCCTCTTTCCCGAACAGAAACAAATTGAAGAGTGTGAAAAAAAAGAATTGCCCCAGCCCCGAGTCGAACGGGGGTCTCCTACAGAACCTTTGAGCAGAACTAAGATTATGCAGGTGTGCTGGACATTGCACCACTAGGTCTTTTTGTGCTTTGGCTGCCTTTGAATATATCTGCATCATTTTGTCTTCAGATCTCACAAGAAACAAATTGAACACGGATGAGGGAACAAAAAACATGGCCCAGCACCGGGATCCCCTGCAGAATAAGCGCATTCTCGACTGACACAATTTGTGCACGTTGAGCCACTAGATCTTGTTGTCCTTCAGTTGGTTTTCAGTATGTCGGACTGATCTTGTCTTCGGGTTTAACGAGAAACAAAGTTGAACGTGGGAAAAAAATAAAAATAAAAATTGTATGATCCAGCCCCGAGTCGAACGGGGATTTCTTGCTTGAAATAATGCCCACTGGAATTTTCAAAGTTTAGCAAGTGTGCTACTGGTTACACCACTGAGTCATTTATAGGTTCTCTATGGGGGAGGTGAGCAGGCTATCAGTGTAAGGATTAATGAAGCCAAGTTGAACATCCAGCATCGGACTAGTAGGATCTCCTGCATGCTACCAGCCTTATAGACTGACATGCTCTTGAATCATATTGTTTTGGGAAAAGGTGATCAAATGGTAAAAAAATACGAAAAAAAAGAAAGAGTTTAAATTTAAATGCAAAATAAATGCCAAAGCAAATGACCCAGCCCCGAGTTGAACAGGGATCTCCTGCAGAACAACACCTATAGGAGCGATTAAATTGTGCAGGTGTGCTGAACATTGCACCACTGGGTCTTCTTCTCCTTTCAGCTAGCGTTCAATAGATCTGAAAGATCTTGTCTTCGGGTTCAACGAAAAATAAATTGAACAGAGATGAAAAGAAACAAAAGGATTGACCCAGCCCCGAGTTGAACGGGGATCTCTTGCATAACTATTTGGGATATACCAAAGGTCTAGGAAATGTACACCACTGAGTCATTTATAGGTTCTTTATGGGGCAGGTGAGCAGGCTATCAGTGTTGCGTGCAAGGAAGGCAAGCTGAACATCGGACAAGGATGGCCTGCATACCACCAGCCTTATAGACTGATACACACTCGAATCATGTTGTTTTGGAAAAAAGGTGATCAAGTGGTAAAAAAATACCAAAAAAAAAAGAGTTTAAATTTAAATGCAAAAAGAATGCCAATGACAAACAACCCAGCCCCGAGTTGAACGAGGAACTCCTGCAGAACGAGTTACGTGCAACAATTAAATTGTGCAGGTGTACTGACCATTGCACCACTGGGTCTTGTTCTCCTTCAGTTGGCATTGAATACATCTGAATGATTTTGTCTTCGGGTTTAACGAGAAACAAGTTGAAAGTGGGAAAAACAAAAACAAAAATTGCAGGACCCAGCCCTGAGTCGAACAGGGATCTCTTGTTTGAAATAATGCCCACTACGACCCTTCAAAGTTTAGCAAGTGTGTTACCAGTTACAGCACTGAGTCATTTATAGGTTCTTTATGGGGGAGGTGAACAGGCTATCAGTAAGGAAGGCAAGTTGAACATCGGACAAGGATGTCGTGCGTACCACCAGCCTTATAGATTGATACACGCTCGAATCATGCTGTAATATGATCAAGTGGTAAAACAAATTGCAACCAGGCAATCCTCCCCCTGCTAATAAAAGCTAAAAGGCATATGAGACCCATATGACCTAGCCCCGAATCGAACAGGGAGCTCCTGCAGAAACTCCGATGCTTGTTAAATAAATTGTGCAGACGTGCTGGACATTGCACCACTGGGTCCTCTTGTCCTTTCAATTGTCTTTGAATACATTCGACTGATTTTGACACACTCCGGATCTCACGAGAAACAAAATGAATATAAAAGAGGTAAAAAAAAAAGGACCAAGCCCCGACTTGAACGGAATATCTCTTGCGTGAAATCGTACTCGCAAAGCTGACTTTTAGCAAGTGTGTCTATGCCGGCTACACCACTGAATAATTTAAAGGTTTCTTTGCGGGGGGAAGGTAGTGTTATTTGGTGTAGGGAATTTATTATCAAGTTGAACATTGGACGAGGATCTCTGCCCTGCATACTATTGATCTTATAGATGGATACACTCTTGATTCAATGAAGCTGGTGTGGAAAAATTCAATTATGTAATAATTTTTAAAAAAATGTGGAGGTGAATGACCCAGCCCCGGGGTCTCCTGCAGAAATTTTGAAAACCTCGTATAATGCAGGTGTGCTCGCCGTTGCACCACTCTTAGTTTCAATGCAAACTGAACTTGTGCAGCCAGCCATCACCCCAAACCCCTCCCTTTGTCTTAGGCATTACCATGCTGCAAACATGTTCCTGCAATGTGTTGTGAAGTGAACTCTGCAGGGGTGCTTTTTGGGCATCGGTCCCATTTCCAACCGGTACTGGCATCTCAGTCATTGCCAAGTCATCACACAAGTCTGTGCAGAACTGTCAAAATGACAAAATTTTAATGTGTCAACTGACAGGTTAACCGGTGTGCCGAAGCGACTATCATGGAGCAACCATGGGCCCACTGTCCTTGTGGCAGTACATTTTTGTACCATCATGGGGTTTGCCTGCAGTGAAAAGCTCTGGTTCTGTACACCTGTCTCATCAGAATTCCTTCCCCCTTCGGACTTGAGAACTAAGACCAATTCAGGAAGGTAGGAGAAATACGAAATATTATTCCTGAGTCGAAGTACATGTGAAACTTATTTCCGTGTAGTCATAGTTGTGAATACCCGGCGACAGTAACAGCTGGAGTATGAAGGCGAGGGCCCAGGGATACTCAGCAGGAAATGAATCTACAAGTGGAACATTAAACATGTTTGAACCAGTGCTTAGACAGAGAGCGGCAAATCATGCATGGTGACTCGACCTGATTAGATTAACCATCAGTTTAAGACAGGGTGTACTTACACCACACCCTGTACTGTATTTACTCTCATTGATCGTATAGGGCGTTATGCCTTCATTGTTCTGACTGGCGCTACAATCAAGAAAAAGTTGCAAATGTAATGTCTTGAAATATCCGAACTGCATGAAAAAGTTGCGGCATCCATCAAAAAAAAAAGTTGTCACCCATAAAAAAAAGTTGCGGCACCTCGAAAAAAAGTTGCGGCATTGCACTGCGTGCCGCGACTTTTTCGGAGGTACCGTCGACAGCGCGTAGGTTGCGACGTAGGTAGTGTAGTACATTTTCATTGGCCTATTGTACTATACCCTACAACTCGGCACGTTCCGAAAGGGGGCATAGCCGAGTATAATATATTTATCCTGACTTATTACCGAGAATTTACAAGGGTTTGATCGCCGGAGCACAGCCACTTCCCTTTTGGAGAAGCGGGTCGTGTTTGATGCCGGGTAGGGTGCCAAACATCCAAACATTAGTTGGTTGTACTGGCGCGCCCGCATGCACGCACAGGGAGAATTCTATATGAGTACTTATGAGTACAGGTATACATTAGGACGTTGTCGAGGGTTCTCACTTTACACGGGAGCTATTAATGGTGTCAATGTGGCACAATTGCTTCTTCAGTTACCTCTGGCGATTCCTCCCGTGAATTGTGAAGTTTGGCAGCTTGAAAGCACCTGGTATTTAGGTAGCCTCAATTTTATTCATGTGATTAGTTTTATAAACATGTTGAATGCACTGGAATGAAACAGAATAAATTGAGTTGGTGGGCAGCATTATTCCATTTTTGGCTCGACCCATGGGAAATGCGGCTCAATAAGACTGCATAAAATTCATCCTACTGCGAAATATAAATCTTATGATGCCAGTTAACGCGATCGGCAGAGTTCTAGAGACAAAAATGCGGTCATGAGAAATTTTAAAACTCCGCCGGCAACGGCCGTTCGTGGTTGCATTCGATGCGGAGCAGCGTAGAAGAGTAGGAATATTCTCCGGCTGCATAGGAGTGTTTAATACTTCACACTCAGTCCGCCTTTCAATGGAATATGGAAATAGCTCCAAACTGCGGCCTACGGCACTAGATCTTGTGAGATCCCCCGCAATAAGTGAAATAAGTTCACATAAGCACTTATTTCCGATCAATTTACGGTAAATTGATCTCAATTTACAGGATTTACAGTCCCGTGACCTTGCCGCGCAGCGCACAATTCATTGCATCTGGGGCAAATCTAACGTGTTATGAGCGTGTATTAACGTGTGAAACACCATTAAAGAGGCTCAGAAGATGTGAATCTTGCCATGGGTCTGGTAATAAGCATTACTATATCTGCTTGCGCCTACTTCTGACGCAACGGCTGATGGACCTTCATACATTGTACAAACCACCTCAATCAGGGTCATGGACCTTGGTAACAATGTCCACCATCTGTTCTGTGACACGCAAAGTGTCTCTGTATACATATTGTCTTATCACCTTTCTGCTTTTATCGCAACTGCCAACAGGGTGAAGACTAAGCCGGAAGTGGTGGTATCTCCGGGAGACTTGCCAATTGAGGGCACAATTTGTTTCTGGAAAGATCAATGTTGTTGAAAATATGCGCTGGACTCCTTGATGCAATTTATCGAAGGTAAATCTTCAGCTGTATTGTCATTCTTCCCCCATATCAATACCCACATAGAATATGAATAAATTCACAGATATGCTCTCTATTCTCCAAATGTTTACACCTGACCCTTTTCCCGGATCGTATCAACGTCTCTACTGTGCACTTTGTCCATGGTGGCCGCGGAATTACTGCTACATCTTGTGTCATTTCATACTCACCCTACCAAAATATTGTCGCATTGAAATATTTATATTTTGACATGTAGCCTCGGCGTTGCCCCACCTACTTTTTTATATATCCCTCTATGAGACATACTATCACCACACTTTTAGCGGCACTGAAACTAGACGGAATCACGCCCACCATCTCAATTCTTCCATCCAAATCAATGCTCACTTTGAATTATTCATGCTTCGTTCTGTATGTCTTGTATGCTTCCAATTCCTTCTGCTAGATGTTACCGGTAGTCCATAATAAAGGCTCCCGCTGGTTTATTTGATCTTAAGCGCTGTAGACGAGAATGGCATTGGCACTTTTCCAACATCACCTCCAATGAGTATACAGGTTAGTTGTATTAGTAGGAATGTATGCTAGTTTGATGCTCCACGTGCCGTTCATAACTTTATTGCAATTGCTCTAAGAGTAATTTAATTGGGAAGCCATTTACTCTCCCCACTTTGCTGAGCGGGAATGTCCCCGGTTTTTCGAGGGAACAGTGGGATAAAATTGCTTGAAGCACGAACACTGCGCAGAGAATTAAACACGGATGGTCACAATCTCGTCCCACGAAAGATAGAAAACGCCAGAAATTAGAATTACAGTGAGCGCAAAATCTCAATGGCGGCAAGTCCGACTGGAAGGAATCGACGCTACCTTTAACCTTAGCTGTAAAAATGCACAAGGTTTCGCCGGGTCTTTTGTCCTTTTAACTGGCTTTGAATAGATTTGACTGATTTTGTCTTCGGATTTTACGAGAAATAAATTGAACATGAGTGAAAAAAAAAATGACCCAGCCCCGAGTCGAACGGGAATCTCTTGCTTAAACGTGGGGAGAGCGGATAAGATTTGGCAAGTGTGCTGGATGTTACACCACTGGGTCTGTTGTACTCTCAGCTGGGATTGAATAGATCTGACTGATTTTGTCTTCGTGTTTAAGGAGAAATAAGGGTAAGATGGAAGAAAGAAAAAAAAGGATTGACCCAGCACCGAGTCAAACGGGGGTCTCTGGCATAGTACCGTGCTTGGCTAGAAGTTTTGGTAAGTGTGTTCCCGTTTATACCACTGGGTCTTTAGTGGTTCTTTGCGGAAGGTGACCAGTATCCTTCAGGATACATTTTTCATGATGCAATTTGTGTAGGTGTGCTGCTGACATTAATTGCACCACTGGGTCTTTTATTTTTACTTTCAAATGAGGTTGACTATCTTGGGCGTAAGCGAAAAAAAATAGACCCAGCTCCGACTTGAAACGGGGAGCTCCTGCAGAACAATCATGAATTCAGGAGCGCGTGAAATTGTCCAGGTGTGATATTGGTGTAAAATTAAGGAAGTCAAGCTAAACATTGGATGAGGAAATCCTTTGCATACTACTAGTGATACACGCTCGAATCATGTTGTCGTGGAAATGCGATCAAGTAGTAAAAAATCTCCTCGGAAAAAAGAGAATAGATTTACATGTAAATGCAAAAAATTTGCTCAAAGACAAATAATGACCCAGCCCCGAGTTGAACGGGGATCTCCTGCAGAGCAAATAGACGCGGAACAGGAAAATTGTGCAGGTGTGCTGAACATTGCACCACTGGGTCTTGTTGTCCTTCAGTTGGCATTGAACACATCTGAATGATTTTGTCGTCGGGTTGAATGTGGGAACAAAACAAAACAAAAATTGTATGACCCAGCCCCGAGTCGAACGGGGATCTCTTGTTTGTTTGAAATAATGCCAATACGACCCTTCAAAGTTTAGCAAGTGGGTTACTGGTTACACCACTGAGTCATTTATAGGTTCTTTATGGGGAGGTGAGCAGGATATCAGTGTTGTGTGTAAGGAAGGCAAGTTGAACATCGGACAAGGATGTCCTGCATACCACCAGCCTTATAGATTGATACACGCTCGAATCATGTTGTTGTGGAAATAATATGATCAAGTGGTAAAAAAAAATGCAGCCAAGCAATCCTCCCCAGCCCCTGCCAAAAAACAAGCTAAAAAAAGAGGTACATGAGACATTGCATCTGACCCAGCCCTGGCTCGAACAGGGAGCTCCTGCAGAACACTCAGCGGATTCTCAAATTGTACAGATGTGCTGGACATTGCACCACTGGGTCCTCTTGTCCTTTCAACTGACTTTGAATACATTCGACTGATTTTGTCTTCGGATCAAGTTCACGAGAAACAAGATGAATATAAAAGAGGTAAACTTAAAAAATGGACCAAGCCCCCACTTGAGCGGGATCTCTTGTGGTGAAATCGTACTCGCCAAGTTGACTTTTAGCAAGTATGTTTATGCCGGTTACACCACTGAATAATTTAAAGGTTCTTTGCGGGTGGAAGGTAAGTAGTGTTATTTGGTGTGGGGAATTTATTATTAAGTTGAACATCGGACGAGGATCTCTGCCCTGCATACTACTGACCTTATAGACTGTTATACTCTTGATTCCTGTTGCGGAAAAATTCAATTATGTAATAGTTTTTTAAAAAAACGTGGAAAAGAACTTCTCACTAGGTGAATGACCCAGCCCCGAGTCGAACGAGGATCTCCTGCGGAAATTAAGACATGTTACAATATGCAGATATGATGTCCGTTGCACCACTGGGTCGTTCCAAACTCTTAGTTACAATGCTCTTAGCTACAATGCAAATTGAACTCGTGCAGCCAGCCATCACCCCAAACACCCGCAACCCCAATTGAAACTCCGCCATCTATCTCCGCTTCAAAAACTCTACCCCATTTCCCCGTCGTCCTTTGGCCTCACCGCGCCGACGCCGCAAAATACGCCTATGACACACGCGCCCATCTCTGCGGGGCCCTCGCGGCCCACAGTCCCGGACATCTCTGAAGAGCCCGAGGTGGGCGACGAGCTCAGCGCGCTGGGGGCAGACGGGATGCAGAGTGCGATGCTGGGGATGGTGCAGGAGAAGCTTGCGGGGCTGCTGGGGCGCGGCTCGGGGTACATCGAGAGCCTGCCCACCGTGGTGAAACGCCGCGTGGAGGACCTCAACGGCCTGCAGGTCCAGCAGACACATCTGCAGAGCCAGTAGAAGCGCGAGTGTCTTGCCCACGCCTAACGCCATCCCAAACTTCTGGCTCACCGCGATGCGCAACCCCGGGCTCGCGGAGCTCATCGCGGAACGCGACGCCGACGCGCTCGCGTTCCCCGAGGACGTCACGCTCGTGTACTGAGTCGAACGGGGATCTCTTGTTTGAAATAATGCCACTAAGACCCTTCAAAGTGTAGCAAGTGTGTTACCAGTTACACCACTGAGTCATTTATAGGTTCTTTATAGGGGAGGTGAGCAGGATATCAGTGTTGTGTGTAAGGAAGGCAAGTTGAACATCGGACAACGATGTCGTGCATACCACCAGCCTTATAGACTGATACACGCTTGAATCATGTTGTTGTGGAAATAATATGATCAAGTGGAAGAAAAAATGCAACCAAGCAATCCTCCCCGGCCCCTGCTAAAAAAAAAACTAAAAAAAAGCTTCATGAGACCATGCATATGACCCAGCCCCGAATCGAACAGGGAGCTCCTGCAGAATCTCCATTTCATGATGAAATTGTGCAGACGTGCTGGACATTGCACCACTAGGTCCTCTTGTCCTTTCAGCTGACTTTGAATACATTTGACTGGTTTTGTTACTACTACTGAGATGCTCTTGATTTAATGAAGCCGTTGTGAAAAAATGGGAGTAAGTAGAAAAGAAATGCGACGAAGTAAGCCTCCCCTGAGATAATAAAAAAACTGCAATAGTATGACCCAGCCCCGAATTGAAGAGGGATCTCCTGTATGACATGGCGAGCAATGTTGAAAGTTGTGCAGGTGTGTTAAGCATTGGACCACTGGGTCTTTTTGTATTTTCAGCTGGCTGTGGATAGATCTGACTGTCCTCTTGGGATTTTCATGAGAACGGGGGCGAATAAATAAATGTGAGTCAAACGACTCGGAGGATCTCCTGTAGTAATGTTTCTCACAATGCAATTTGCGCAGGTATGCCGGACATTGCACTAATGGGTCTTCTTGTCCTGTAAGCTGGTATCAAATACATTTGTCTGATTTGTCTTCACATCCGCGTTAGAGTGCTCGGTTCTTGACTTTTGACCGCCGAATCACCGAGTGCTACTCGTAGCTTGGCGCAGCGGTAAAGACTGCGCAGGCCCTTGGACTGCACCGCGATGGTTCCAGTATGGTATGTCCGTGTGCTTCACCTCCAGCTCGTGCTTTAGACAAAAAGGCAGAACATGGAGCTTACTCTTGCCGAGTATAGACGGCGTATTTAGCAAGTAGAATTTTTCTATCTTCCATGCCCACTAACATCTCATCTAGGTCGTATTTGTACTACGCAGACAGATCCTACGTGTTGGTCCTTATGAGGCCTAACTCAATCCAGGATAACTACACATCCACCCTCCCTCCGTCCAATATAGACGACAAGCCTTCTCCCGCCCATATGCGGAGCCCTCTTCCTCTATCAACCCCCACACGCATGACCTACGTGATCCTGCGACACCAGCTCGCAGCCATCATCGGCCGCATGGTGCACCACTTCCAGCAGCTGCGCACCACCTGCCACTACTCGGAGGTCGTGGCCCTCGACGACGAGCTGCAGCTGCTTGTGATTTCGGGCGACGATTCGAACTTGCAGTACTGGGAGGCGCTGGTAAGTCAGATATATCGGGGGCCGTAGTGTTTTTTTTTGTTCAGTCTTGTGCATACGTGTTGGCCCGTCTACCGTATGTACTTTGTATTTGTACAATAATAATATTGTACCCAGATAAATGGGCTACGATCGTTTACGTATGGCTCTTCCTAATTGAGCGTGTGAGCGTAGTTGCTTCGTTCGTGTTTGCTTTACATAATTCTGTTCGAGACCACTAACAAAGAGACAGGTCACCTGGCCGCACCGTCGGTGAGTCAGCGCAACAGTCAGCGCTACTCATCGCTCGGCAGTTAGCAGAGAAATTGTGTCGGCATCGCCGTGGCGAAGCCCGCGACTGTCCTTGATCGGTAACGAAATTGCAAGTTCATCAGACTTTTGACATTTTGATTGTGGCGTTGTACTAAGCCGAAAAACACCTAAAAACACCTAAAAACGCCGAAACTCACAACGCCGACAATGTTTGAAAAAAATCTCATAACGTCTCCCCCAGGTTTTTTTTATCATTGCATTAGGGTTTTCAGAACATTTCACTGGGGGTAAGATAATTTTTTTGGCAGGTGTTTTTTTTTGTTTTGGCGTTAATTGTCGACAATGCGAAAACGCCGAAAAACGCCGAAACCGTCACAACTAATCTGTCAAATGGCTGATGTTCAGCGTTCTTGATTTATAAGGAAACCGAAGTTCAGTATCTTGATCTGTAAGGAAAACCAAGTTTAACGTCACATTTAGGGCTGTGCGCCGTGCCCGTCGCGCCGGTTCTACGGGTTCCGTGCGACGGGTAGCCGACCCGTTCCGTCGGGCTCTTCGACTGCGTTTTTTGACGGCCGTGCCCGTCGAAAACGGCCGTCGACGGGTCGACGGGTCCAGAAAACACGCCATACTCGGCCATATGCGATGTGTAAGCCTTTTTGCACGGCATGTTTCATGCACAGGTAAGCCCAATACACAGTTTAGGCTACACCTTATGAACTTACTCAGTAGTTTGAGTTGTCGAAATGACGGCCATCGCGTGACGGACCGTTCCCGTCCATACATAATACCGGTGTTCATCCGATGCGAACGCGTCTTCGTTTCCAACGGAGGTGGTCGTAATTCAGTAATTCCCGTCCCAATGCTGATCGGCATTTCGATTTATGCCCTTAAAACCAGGTCGAGTGACCAAGCGGACCACATGACCTGCATTAAAGCCGACATAAATTGAACGTCCATGGAACGTCTATTAGCAACTCAACCTCTCCCTCTCAATAATGACTATTACTCAAAACGCATCTGACCCTCTCGTCGTGGTGGTTGGTGTAACAGGCAACCAGGGCGGTAGCGTCGTCAAAGCCCTGGCGGAGTCCGACAAACCATATCGCATCCGCGGTCTCACTCGCGACGTGACAAAACTAGCTGCGCGCGAGTTTGCCGCGCAGGGTGTCGAGATGGTCAGCATTTCGCTCAGTGCGGATAATGCGGATGCGGTCAAGAAGGTTTTCGAGGGAGCCAATGTCGTTTTTGTTGGTGGGCCGTTTTCGCATAGCATGCACGAACTCATTAGCCCGCCAGGTCATGACGAATTATTGGGAGCACCTCGACGTGAAGAGAGTATGTGCTCAAGATTATCACGCGAAAATATTTCCATTTGACACGAGAATATTCGCCCATAGGAAGTTGCCGAGGCGAAGATGCTGATTGACGTTGCGAAAGCAGTCGGAGTTGGCCGGTTTATTTGGTCTGGCCTCGAGTCTGTGATCAAGGTTTCGAACGGAAAGTACTCGAATGTTCACTTCTTCAACGGCAAAGGGGAGATTACAGAGTATGGGCGTAACTCTGGGATCCCGTTCATTAATGTCCAGGCTGGGTGGTACGCGTCGAACTTCTATAAGCTCGATGCAATGAAACCCAAGCGCTTGGCGGACGGGACGTACAAGCTCTCCTTGCCAGTGGGGCCAAACACCATCCTGCCAGTGATAGATACGGCGCACGACTACGGCCTCTTCGTGCGCGAAGCGATAGAGTCTCCTGAATTTGGCCCCGGTTCCGAAATTCTTACCTCCGGAGAAGTTATTTCTATCGGGGACATGGTTTCGCAGCTCGCCGAGAGTGAGTGTCTGCGAAGCTTCTTTCAGCCGGCTGCAGACTGATTTATCTGTCAAGTCACTGGAAAGAAAATTGTGTTTGCTTCAATCAGCGACGCGGACTTCATAAAGGCCACGGGCTTCCCCCACAGCGTCGCGCTGGAAGTCCTCGAGAGTATGAAATACTACGAAGAATGTGGATGTGCGTACATGTTACCGGGTCTCGTGTCTTCCAAAAATAATTTTCGTGGGTTTGCAGATTACGCTGGGAAAGACACTGCGCCAAGCCGCCGGTATCTCGGCCGGCCCACGCGCACCTGGGCCGAGTATGTTAAACTACAGCTGCAGCCAGGTGGACTAACATTCGAGTGAAACGGGAGCGAGCGACGAGAGGGTTGTACATTCCAGTAGTGTATATTGCTCTGCGTCCCCTCAAAGGAGGGATGAATCTGAAAAAAATTATGCACGGCGGCCGGCTTGGTCTGAAAAATGTTGGCAGCGTGGGCATGAGAAATGAGCCTTGTTGTGGTGCCAGTATCGACCGCAAAGTGAGTGCTAGAATGCAGGTAAACCCGCATCGCAGCTAGTAATTGAAGTTGGGCCAAAATTACTAAGCGTTGTATTCCATTACGGAGCCCACATCAAACCTCCTATCAATGATTCATACTGGTTCGGACGGATGTTTTTTCTGTGTGCCTCGATGTACATTCTGGGAAGACCTTGCTTTACGCTTTGATGCCCGGGGCGGCACTATCTTCCTCCAATTAGGTTCTCTCAGGTCGTCGTCATCGCCGCTGCATGGGGTCTTTGGATCCAGTGTGTCTTGGAGAATTTTACAGATGTTATACTGATTCATGAGTAGCACTGGGAGGCACGT